TTCGATCCGCCGCTGACCTCAGAGTGTTTTGTAAGAAGGCTAACAAGCGTAAACTTTTGTCTGCCTGAAGTATTAAATATATACATACTCTATACCATGCAAGTGCTGATGTTTGGTCAGCAGAAGTCACCCAGCTGCATGAGCACGCTGCAGTGGTGGAAAATCACCCGACTCAGTCACCCACACAAGCGTGAAACACCATGGCCACGCTGTGTACCGCATCCTCCCGCCCAACCTCGCAACTGCATATTTTTGCCTACACTGGGGCGAAATGATCGTTTGGGTGTTGATTTCTTGTTGTTCGGGTGTTGAACCACCAGGGCCACGCTTGCTCCAGGTAGTGTTGTGAAGTCATTTGTCCTTCAGGAAATTTGCATTCATATGAAAATGAGCCATACATATGGAAGAAATTTAGAAAGATTTTGAGATTAAACATTCATGTTCAAATCTGTTGCATACATGAACAGAGGTTTCGAATGCCGCGCTAGTCCCAACAATCCAGATCCCACATGCCTGTTTCATGCTACGCCAAAACAAAAGTTTAATGCGCAGGTTGCAAGGATATCCAAGTTCGAAAAAGTACAGCGACGCATCTTCCAAACAACTTGCTACAAAACCACACGACTTAACCCGATACCCAGTGTATGAAAATACGTGCATACACACATACACACACATACATACATAAATACATACATACGTACATACATATATATACATACATACATACATACATCCAACCCCTCCAGGCCTTTCAGCGTGGCGGCCACTCGAAAAGAACAAGATACAGAAGGAGGCCACGGACATCCTTGGAATCCTTGGGGCCACATGGACAACAATCCCTCTTGAAATCCAAACCAAACTTCAGGAGCTCGGCGTCGGCCCGGAAAATTCCGAGGAACCGGATTTGACCGACATCCTCAAAAAACCACACGCGAGCTTTGCCACAGCAGGTTCAAGAATTGGTGCTGAAGTTGACGGCTCCTGAACCGGAGCAGCACATGGCTGGCAAGCTCAAACAGCACGTGACCGATCTCAAGAATCTGTCCCTCAACAAGGCCAACCTGCAAGCAAAGCTTGACCGCATGAAGCAACAGTACCAGACGATGCTCACACAGTGGACGTGAGGCTCCACTTTGCCAATGTCACCAGTCTGGGCAGTTCGGTCATTGAATGGTACTGGTCCAGAGAGAGTGAAATCTTCGTTGAGACACACCTGGATCCACAACAGCACGCCGGTACCTGCCACTACTTTGCAGTCAGGGGTCGCCAAGCCTTCGGACTTCCGGCCCACTGCAATGAGCGCAGCAATGGCAACCATGCAAGGACCAACAAATGCCAACATCCCGGCAAAGATCTGGGCCATCCTCCAAGAGACCTGGAACAATCCTCCGGACGCCTTTCAGAGTACTGTGCTGGGCAGCAAATTCAACTTCCAAATCGCGGTGCTGGAGCAGAGCTTGCTGAGTGGAGCGGTCTTGGACTATGCCCTGCTGCGTAACTCCACGTTAGCCTTCGAACTGGACGCCACCTTTCGAGAGTACCGACAAATCTGTCGCTTTCCGCCGCTGCCACAGGTCCCTGACATCGACACATCGACTACCGGCCATGGAGCAATGGAGCGCCTACGTTTGCTGTGGAGATCAAGCGCTATGAGGACATCAATCCTGCGGTACAGGGCCTTGCTGATTGGGCGTCGTGCGCTGAGCAGTACTTGCAAGCCCTTGTGCTTCAACTCCCCGCGCAGAGCAACCTCCTTGATCCACTGCTGACTGCTATGGGAGGCAGTGGCGCTTGATGGTCCGGTTGGAGATCAGCCGACCTTTCGCCACGGTACTGCCAGAAAGCCCCTGAGAGGGGCACGAGTGCCTGTAGGTGGATTTTGCAGAACAAGCTTGAACCTATAGCAGGAAGCTGCTTCTAGTAGGCTGGCGTTTTTGCGGTTGCTATGGGTGGTTTTGGTAGCACTCCGCCCTGAAGAAAGGTCATGGATCCTTAAGGTACACAAGAACCTGGGATATCCCAGTCAGCAGAAGTTCTGTCAGCAAGTAGGGTGCAGTCCAGAAAAATTCTATAGAGGCACTGACTGATCTTTCGTTGCTCCACGTGTGCGGAAGGGAAGCCAAAGGAACTCGCCAAGCCAAGTGCCATCCATCCGGATCTCGATTTTGGAGATATCGTGAGCATGGACAGGATCAAATGGACCAACAAA